ATGATACTGTCAATTATAATGCCTTTTTATTCTGCTATCTATTAGAAATTATACTATGTTATGCCGCATATTCTCTAATAGTAATTTTAAGGCTAGAATTACATTGCAGGTTTGCAGAATTTTAATAGTTTACTGCACGGACTATGATCAAGCAGTAGCGATTAAGCTAAACGCCAGTAGATTTATTGAACAATTCTTGTAAATATAGAAATAAATAATATTATGTAATAATTTATAAATTTATCGTAAAGCCAATTTGTTCACTACCCTTTTTGTCAACAACAATATTTACAAATATGAGGGATAAATGCACATTAAATACTTATGACTTTAAACAAACGATATATGACACCTTTGAAGTGAATACTGATAGCTCTGATACTTAAATAGGAAAACCATCTAAATTCGAACGAAATTATAGGTCTACACCTTAAATTTAACATTTAAGATTCAAATAAAGAAGGAATGCTGCATAATATAATGTATGGCAGTCATCAAAAATTTTACTTGAGCAAAAGTAACAAAAAAATGTAGGTATTGTTTACTGGTAAACAATCTCCATCAACTTGCCTATTAACCTACTGTCACAAAACAGCTTTGCAACAAGATAACGTAGTATACGATCAATAAGTCAATTCCTTGAACTACGTATCAAGGAACGATATCTTGTCACAACCCTCACTTGTGGCAAAGGAAAGAACTCTAGTGTAGTTACTTAAAACTTGGGCTATTTCTCCCAGTACTTTCAGTTTCTATGAGAGAAGTATTTGAGAACTCGATTTCTCGGCTGATCTCCACAGACAACTAATTATTACACTATTCTTCACGATATGAGTCTTGCCGTTTCTTGAGCAATTACTTTTTTTATTCTACAAACACACGCGCTTAAATAGGTTTCTACAGTGAATTCCAATATTAACGAGTGAGAATTCATGCTTTACAAGTTACATTAATTAGTATAATACCATTACTAAATATACATGTCGATATTCTCAGACTTAGATAGCTACAAGCTATCAGGTGTTAAGACGCTTAACCTTCATCCATATACAGCTCAATTTTTAGAGATTAACATACCTTAGTATTTTACGTTAAACACTAAGTTGGACAATCCTTCTTTATTTCACGATATACTGCATTTATATACTACTCCTCAATAGTTCATGAGTCATAGTTAATAAAATTAACATTAGAATCATTTACTGAATTAGATATTAATTTTAGCTACTGCTCCCTTAATGCAGACAACAGTATTTACGAACATAGACATGTAATGACTAATACAGAATAGTCAGATTACGATATGTCCTATCACGGAACATTTCCATGATAATTTACAATCTAGCATAAGTAAATTACAATCACAATGATTCGAACTGTAAGCAGATGATTTGCATTCCCTATTATAACTATTAATTTCAGTATGTGTATAAGTGTCACTGTCATAAAAAGTCAGTGCTATATTAAAACATAGTATATCCAAATTAGAAGTTAACTAAATAAGGATAGTCTAATAGAATTATCCTAACATAGATATTTCTACTGTAATACAGTATATAACACTGTAACACCTATATCTTATGCTTGTATCATCATAATGCACAGTATTTTTAAATTCAAAAGAATCTTTAGTTTTGGGATAACCATTTCATACAGAGTACTTTACATATACGAAGAAACAGATGGTTGGCATCTATAGGACGGAAGTTCATTGTTTGGAGAAACTATGTTAAGCACGAATACATATTCTCTGACCTTTTGTCCACCGCTCTAGAAAATATAAATAATGTCAATGAATTTAGCAAATTTTAGATATTAGGTAACCTATTAGATATTATACTTAATAAACTATTAAGAGATCGCATGGGAACTTAATGCATTGAGCTCTACGAGAATAGATTGCCGAGGGATAATTTTACGATCCGGCTGGTAAATTATATTGTTTTAAATTCATGCAGCTGATCGGAGAAAATAATGATGTACGGTGTTATTGCTCATTCGTAATTATGATTGCAACTTAACTAATAATAATATAGTCGAGTTTATTTAATATTCCATTAATTAATGTCAACTATTGAGACGATTCTTAATATACTACAAAACCAACATCGATAAAAAAGGAGAATTTTTGATAAATTACTAGCAATTTAGCTTCGCTTATATAGAAACTTTCATTTAATTTGCCTTTGACCTAGACATGGGGTGCGAACGTATACGAAATTGCAAGAACAGAACGTTTACTCTGTTCAGGTATCTATCTCTAATAAGCTTCGCTTTTTTTCTATTAATTTATTGCGAAGAACAAGTTCAAATTACTAGGGTAAGCATTTTCTGTAACTTTATATTAAACTCTTTAAATTATCTAATAAACATATACATCACTAGCAAAAGATGGTAAGAGTATAGCAGTAGTAGGTATCTTTAATTTCAATTAGCTGGGGTGTAAGTCAGAAATTCATTTATAGGCCTCATAGAAACATCTTTACGGTCTAAAATACAATTTTTTTAAAGACGAGAATAGCATTTCTTAGTCAAATATACTATATGACTGATTAGCTGTCAGTGCTTATCCATTAAAACTATTCGGATAGTGAAGTTATCACCTATCTAACAAATAAACGAACGTTCGCTTTCCACTGGGCTCCTTTTTAATCTTAGAGTTCAAATAAAAAATGAATGATGTATTGAATAGGAAAAAAGTAACAATACTCTTACTAAAAAAACTGAAAATCAATGAAAATCTTAATTTGAAGCTGTAATTATGACAGATCCATTTCAATTCTAGGCTCCTAACTTTAGCCAATCTATTTTTTTGTAATGTTTGATTAAAATTATGCCATGAAGCAAAAGGCTAATTACTCATACGAAATTAACTATGATATTATGTTTACTTCATTAATCAAACTCATCAACTAGTAGTATGTGTATAATTACATTTAAATACAATTTAATTATAAGACCTTTATAGCTACTCCTTCGCTTTACACGTAACTTATTTATCTTTCTTAAATCGGTGATGATTAGCTATGATTTATTCATTTAAAGTAGTCTCACAGCACTCTCCGATTCTAATGCATGTCAACCCAGTCACCGATATCAAATCTCAGATTACTCATCAAAGATCAACTATGATATTACATTTATATCATTAATTAAGCTTACCAACTAGCTGTACGAGTATAATTAAATTTTGATACTATTTCATTATTTACAGCTACCCCTTCGCTTCATATCTAATCTATTTATCGTCCTTAAATCGATTACGACTAACTACAATTTATTTATTTAAAATAGTCTGCCAGCACTTTCCGATTCCAAAGATTTTCAATACAGTGATCAATATTCAGTCTCAAATTACTCATAGGAGATCAACTATGATACGAGTATAATATTAACATCATTAATTAAGTCACTAAGTAGTTGTACGTGTATAATTAATTTTTGATATAATTTAATTATGAGACCAGTATAGCTGCTCCTTCGCTTTACATGCAACCTATTTATCTTCCTTAACTCGATGATAATCAACCGTAATTTATTTATTTAACTAGTCTATCAGTACTTTTCCGGCTCTAAAGCATTTTAATACAGTCATCAATAATAAGCCTCAATAATAATATTCCAATCCTAAATAAGTGCTTCACAAGCATGTGCTACTTATCTTGCATACGGTCAAAGTCGCTTAATTCTAAACAGAAACAAAAGAAGGGCTTGGGATTATCATAACTTAAAATAAATACTGAGCTAGAATTATCAAAGCTAGTTACATAATAGCGATAGATGTTTTAGTGCTACAAAGTGTTGATTAACAATATCTATTATACTGTAATTAGATCTTAATTATACTTATATAATATTTTTCTGATAGAAGCCAGTGATCCTCATGATAATGATCGCATCGGTGTGGCGTTAAGAAATCTTCTCAGAAATGATTATCATTAGATGTTATTACACATATATATTATATATCTAGCCTGTGAGAAATAAATCATTTTCGACATTATAAAATAAATCTATAGGCTAATCAAAAAATCGATGATGGTACCTATATCTAACTAGATCGTGAATTCATTTCAATCTCATTTCAACTATTAAATAATAACTCTCCTTGCCATTATGTAAGGCATTGGTTGTCTAATTATCAAGATTTAGAACTTATCATAAAAGTATCAAGGCAATTTACTCATTACTATCGATTATCCTAGTATCTATTTTGCTATTGCATTAAACGATATCCTATTTACTGTAGCTTGCAGTGTGAAGAATACCAGCGATAGACCAAGTTTATAGTTTAATCTAACCCATTACTGGGCTACTATTGTCTTAATTGATCGTTTGTCAACAATTTAGCATATGTTTAATTAATATTTGGGTTATTGTTTATGATGTAATGGCATTATCCTTAATACCATACATAATGTATTCAAAATAACATAATCTACGTGAGCTCTCTTATTCCGTCTATTTGTTTATCACCACGATAATAATACTGACCTTTTTCACAAGATACTGTTTCTAATAGGATCATAGCTATTCCTGGAAGCTAATTTATTATTCAAGAAATTCAAACCAGCTCTATTGACTTCGTTGCTACCATAAGAAGCTATACCCACAACATAAAAAACATCCAGCACCACGATAATATGCATACGTAACTATTTTGAGTTTTATCAATATGTATCGTTCGCCATATTAAAATATTCTTCTTGGAAGATAATGGTCAAGAATTAGTAACCAATTTCAATATATTATTCATAGGTTGGAATTTTAGCTGATTATCAAATTCATTAGTCGTAAGGAAACTATCGTTATAGATGGAATAAGAAGGAATCATTTGCCCTATTTCACTTCCTCATCTGTTATTTTAACGATCAAGAAGAGAAAAAAGACTACTGCCCATGTCTGAAGCAATTTTTCGCCACTAAATCATTTCAATCTATTGCCAATACCACTAAATTGCCTCTTTTCCATTATCAGTACTTCTATCAAGTGAAGCCAAGATGGTCACAATTAATCAAACGAATTCTACGATAGCAAATCCAGGTATCAATCAAATTTTATCTATTTCTTTCATATCGATTGTTATTCTCATAGGAAGCATAGGGAATTCTATCAACATTTACTTTATTTACAAGATACCATCATTACACAGCTACAACAATATGCTTATAGCCCATCTAGCTGTGGCTGATTTCTTGCAAGCAACTTTAACATTACCCATGGCCATTGCTAATTCTTTATTAAGACATGCCATTCCACCAGCTATGTGTCAAGCGTTCGCTTTTATACTCAATTTTCTTCTCGCCATTGCATTAGCAGCAACGGCAGCCATTAGCATCGATCGCTGCCTTGCTGTTATTTATCCCTATCAATACCAGGCTAAAATGAAAACGAACTACATTATCATGATTGTCATATTCATATGGATACTAGCAGCAGTTTTGGCCGGAACGCCATTACTTGGTTTACAACGATACGGTTTAGGAGAATATACCTTCATCGCTGATGGTCTACAATGTTGGTTTGATTTTCAATATCGTCAAAGAAGTAGTATTATATTTATCATTTTATATATCTACTTGCTATTAACCATCTTAACAACCCTAGTTTCCTATTTGATTATTTTCTGTATTGCCTACAATAAAGGTATCGCTGACATATCTGCAGTCGGTTATGCATCATTACGACGCTCTATCAGGACGACTGCATTAATTGTTGGCAGCAATTTTGCATGTTTTATACCAACATTAATATCAGTATCTATAAGTTATTTCTCTCAACGTGAATTAAATCCAGGTTTAACCGTTGCAGCCTACCTTTTATCATTCTGTAATTCAGCGATTAATCCACTTATTTATGCCTTCACCAATGGAATCCTTCGCCAAAAAATTAAGCAGCATTGTTGTTGCTCAAAGAAGCGATATTGTCTTACAAAATTTGGACTATATAGAACCTCAAAAATTACACCAAGCAATACCGCAGCTGGTCAACCAGCTGCTAAAAGCGACAGCGAACCAAGCTACTGGCAAACTGTTATAAATGATTATGAATCATCGTAAAAGTATGGCATATTTCTACATTAATTAAATCACCGACATAGCAGATCCTTTACAGAATATGACAATTCATATTATACCGATAGAAACTGCTCTATGATGGATGTATTATCATTAGTTAATACAACGACGGTTACATTTACAGTACTCAAATTTAGCAATTTATTCCACTTCAATTATCTAGTGCTGATTAATATCACACTTTCGGATTATATAGTAATTAACGATGGTTATGATATATTGCAGAATATCAAATCGATTGAGACACACATATGATGAATATCGAACACAGATACCAATGTGTATATATATCACACTGAATATATTGTGTATTTATTATGATTAAATTTATATAAAATATAGGAAAGAGTAGTAAAAGTATCCAGTAGTTTTATCGATTAAAACCAATCTGTATCATTAGCATTAATCTTCGATAAAGAATTTGGAGAACAAAGTCTGCATTTAGTACTGGTGAATTATGATCATATTTTGGAATAAACTTTAATATCATAGAACTTCAGTAATAGTGACAATATGCTTTAGACTATACATTTGATAAAAATGACACTGGTAATCTTTGCCAATGTTAAAGCCATTACGAAGTAAAAGATGTTATAGCAAAGCTAATACCAAATAATTACAGAAAATGACATAGAAACATAATTGACTAACTCAATATCTTTCGATTATAATCGGAATCGATCAATACTACTATCTCTACCAAGCATAATTTTGAAATTAAAATGCTTTTATCTAATACAGGATAGAAAAGGATAATATTTACATGAATACTCCCTTTCACTGACTAGAAAAAGAATAAAAAAACTTGTCTTTATATCTAAATAACTTTCTATGCCAGTAGACATAATCACTTGTCTTATGTAGTGTAATAAATTCACTGTGCACTTAAAGGCTATAATAATTCACTTAATATCACAACAGCATTTAACCTCCATCCTTGCGTAATGATGACATAGAGTTAAATTAATATAAGAATTCGGGCTTAAAAATTAAGTTTACTTTACAGCCAAACCAATTTAAATAGCTTTGAAATTGCCATTATTGCTAATTATATGTACAAGCAAGCAATACGATTTAAAATACTGATGCACTCTTCAGATCTTATAATCTTCACTGATATGCAAGTTATTTTATCAATGACCAATGCAATGGTTTTATGATGAGTAAACTTTTATTTATAACCGACTTTGTGTCCCAAAATCTATCATAAGCAAACTCATGGACAGTATGGCACTGATAATATTAACGTAGTGGGCATCTAATATTAGAGTATACAAGATAGGGATCAACAAGAACCAACTAAGTTGCATAATTTGTGACTGTAACACCTATTAAATTCAGAAAATCATTGGAGATAATACTAAAATTCTAAGCAAAACTCTACAAGTGAATATCCTCTCATCTGTCTAAATGTATCATTAAGCTAAAATTCTAGCTCCTAAAGACAATTCAAACTTTAGCTCTATAGGATAAAAGGCAAGAAAGTATCTATTAATCTGATTATTGGCTTCTAGATCTAAATAAAATGATATTTATTTATGCCTTATTATATATCAGTTATTAATAGATATTACCAGCCCCAATAGAAGCAGTTTACTAACAGATTGCACTACTCAAAACTGCAGTATCAGCTTTAACTGAACAATAATTCCACCTCTTCCTTTCATGTACTTCCTTGCCACAATCAAATTTATTATTTTCGCAATAGAAATTATTTCCTTTCAAGTAAATGCCAGATAAAAGAAAATCTTTATTATAGATTTTTTGTTGCAACTATGCCTAACTTACATTGCTGTTAATCTGGTGATTTCCAAACCTTTAAGTATATAGCAGTTGAATTTCGCTGTCATATAGTACGACCCTGAGTGTTCCATTTGAAACCATGTAATTTTTAAAAATTTATCAATTAAAAGGGACACACCTTGCACACATAATGATAGGATAAATAGAATACGTCAATTAGTATTTATAACGCTGAATAAATATTATTTTTAATCATATATTTTACAGTCTATAGGCTATCCTATCTATCCCTCCTGAAAGTTTTCTGTCTGCTTGTCTATCGGTAATACATACCATCTTCACGAGAAAAATATAATAACTGTTATTTATAGACTCACAACATTAACCTTGAGAAGTCTTTAAAAGGCCGAAGTTGTTCTTAATATTAGAACTAAGAGTCATTGTAATACGTATAGTTAAGTTTACGTAAAGGCTTCCCCAAAAATAGAAAGTTAAACGCTAAAGTTGTCACACCTATTTTTAGCGCGTCTGATATATTAATTGCTAGAGATAGATTAATCAAAGATGCAGTTTTATGTAATAAAGTACCGTACGTAAGAACCATATTAATCATTCGCTGGTATAGGGTAAAAAGATGTTTCATACGTTCCAAACTAGTGAACTACAAATTTGTAACTGCTTCGAACACTTCTAAAATATAGAACTTGGTATATCACTATTACGGAACTACGTTTCCGATATTAAGGTTATGTTACAGAAGTTATTTCATACTGATCATGTAGCGTAGTATTTACAGTTTTAATAAGATACTTGTTCAGGCAGGAATTCTTGCCAAGCTCATACTAAGAGCTATATTTTTTAACTCGTTATAATTTCTTACCGTATTTAAGTTAAAAATACGGTTGGACTAGGTTATAATCTGTCATATTTGTAATGCTTTACCTGCGTTGACCTCTTTTGATTGGATGTATGCTGTTGACTTGCTTTATGCTATCTTATTTTAAGTCTAAGTATAATAGCTAGTTATTGTTGGTTATTATTTTATTGCTTTTTCTTTTTGTTATAGATTGCTAGTGAAAACTACTAAAATAAAGTCGTAACCTAGAGTATGTTGTACTTTTTGCGACTATTCTTTTGAGGCTATCTAGAAGGGTAGTTCTAGATATTTTAAGCTACGTAGATAGTTGTGACAAGGACTCTCTCATAATAGAAAAACTTCTTATCCAAAGTCATTACTATAAAATACTATCAAAATAGCTGAAAAATATGCGTAAGGTTTGTAAAGAATATAGAGATACACGCTATAAGTTATATCCCTGCTGTTCAAAGAATTCATGCTAAAATGGAATAATTTAAGTGATAGCTTTATCAAATTTTATCATACTTTATATTTAAACTATATGGAATATAGAGGAAAGAATATAGAAATTATTATAGAGATAAAAGTTGTATCTCTACCGTTTAGCAAGTTCATACCGTATGTAAACTAGAATAGAATAACTGAAGTGATAATGCTGTCAAATTATGATCATAGTTTACATCTAAAGTATGCTTTGATACAAAACTTGATAATCAAAATACATTAGAAACCATCTAATCCTACACCTTATGGATCACTATCGATTGGGTACTAGGTTAATACAGAGTATGAGTAAAGCGATAATTGGCTATCGCAATTATTCAAGAGTTTTCATTACGCTTATAAATTATAGAGACGCTTCAACAAAGAAGATTTAGTAATTCTCAACTTTTCGGTTAAGTAAAAGCTAAATTCTCTATGTACATCAATATAACAGCTCTGTTTTCAGCTGCAGAGTCAGTTATACTCCTTTTCGATTATACTTTTCAATACTGCAGTAGAATAGAGACTCTAAATGCTAGGCAATCACGTCACCGTATGCTTATATATTATGGAGACACTTCAATGGAGAGGATTTAGTAATTCTCAGCTTTTTCGATAAGTAAAAGAAGCTGAATTCTCTGTGTACTGTACATCGGCATAATAGCTCTATTTTCAGTTGTAGACTTAGTTATAGTCCCTTCTGATTATACTTTTTAGTAAATTATTATAGTACATTACTGTACTTTCAAAAATAACCTCCAGAGCAGCGCGGGTTTTTTTTTTTTAAATCTTTGTTTAACCAGATTCATCTTTTGCGTTACTATTATAATATTCTAAATTTAACATAAAGATAATCTCATACCTATAGTAACTACATCAGAATTATTGATAGCCACAAAAATTAATACATATCTACGCATTAATCAGTACTTTAAAACATAATTATTTATATAATCACAGGATAAGACGACAAATAATTGACTTCTAAGATCTGAAATAATTTCAATCATAGTCCTCGCAAATATCACATTGGTAGGAATATAAGCATAGCAAGGGAATTTTCATCAAGCAACCTATCCAGAATTTAGAGGATATGGTTGAGGATGTTATACTTCAGAGGATTCCATTTAGTCTTGCTAATCATAGCACTAATTTACCGTCAAGCAATCCATACAGAAATTAGAGAATATAGCTTAAGATGTCGTATTTTACAGTATTCTATTTAGCCTAGCAAATCACAGTGCTGATCTACTATTGCTATTCGACTAATTTAGGATGATATAAAGATAAAATATGTAGTAACCAATAGTCTCACCAACAATAATATTATTATAGCTATAGCACCTGATTTCTTAATGCTGTTCAATTGCTCGGCGTAGGTGTACGCATTGAAAATATTTTTCGTTACACTCTTCTTTTACCCCTTAAATATTGCATGAAGGAGCGTCTAGTAAAGTTAGTATAATAATTTTCTGTTGTATGGTATTAAGAATAGCATACATACTCGTGTTAGTGTGAACTAAAGGTATTCCTTTCCTATTTTAACACTCCATCCACTTATAATTTCGTAAAGACTCCATTACTGAAAGTTAATGCTGACCAGTTCTACTAATTAAATTCCTTTGATCTCAGCTATTTTGAAGGTAAATTAGTGCCATAGCAACGTAAATTAGACTTAGATATAGATTAAGTACAATAGTCTCATTTTTCCATTGGTTAATGCAAATTGAATAGGCATGAACAAATTCTATTTTGTTATCTTTTCTACGGACAAAAGATATCAAGATGACGCATTGCAATTGTAGCAAATGCTAGCACTATTTTAAAGTAGAAGGTTAATTTAAGTAGCATTAATAGCAACGCTTTTCGTCTTTTACCTCCCTCATCGTCTCTATAATCGTTAAGAAATAATCTCCCTCCATTATAGCTTTTTAAACTCAAGACGAATAGTGTGTCGGCTAAATTCCCGTTATATTTATCATCTAAGGGCATTGAAAACTTGATAATGTAAAGTTAACAAGGAAATCAAGCTCAACAGCCATGGCCAATGAAAGCAACACAACATTATTACATATCCCAAGTACTTACCAAATTCTATCCGTTGCATTTATATCATTGATCATTACTATCGGAAGTATCGGCAATCTTGTTAACATTTATTTTATTTATAAAACACCATCGCTGCATAGCTTTAATAACATCCTTATAGCTCATTTAGCCATAAGTGATTTCTTGCAGGCAATATTAACACTACCTATGGCTATCTTGAACTCTTATTTACGCTTCAACAGCCCAATCATATTATGCCGGGCATTTGCGTTTACTCTTAACTTTTTGGTCATGGTTTCATTAGCAGCAACATCAGCAATTAGTATCGATCGTTATTTTGCTGTCATTTATCCTTATTCTTATTCGGCTAAAATGAAAATTAAGTATATCAACATATTTATCGTATCGACCTGGTTGTCAGCAGCAATCACATCTGGAACTCCTTTACTTGGGTTACAACGCTACGGTCTAGGAGAATATTCATTTATCGCTGATGGCTTACAATGCTGGTTTGATTTTCAGCATCATCAAAAAAATAGAATTGCCTTCATAGCTACCTTTGTTTACATCGTAGCAGCTATTTTAGTGACGATGACTTCCTATCTCGCTATATTTTACGTTGCCTGTCATAAAGGCATCACAGATGTATCTGTCGTAGGTTATGCATCGCTCAAGCGTTCTATTCGTACCACAGCATTGATAGTAGGCAGTAATTTAGCATGTTTTATACCTGTACTAGTTGGTGCTTCCATAAGTTATTTCACAAAGCGTGATTTACCTCCAGGATTGACTGTCGCAGTCTATCTTCTAACATTCTTTAATCCCGCCATTAATCCTGTTATTTATGCCTATACCAACGAAATACTCCGTAGGAAAATAAAACAATATTGTTACTGTCCCTGCAATCCACGCTTTAGGCAAATAAAAGTTCGTAGTAACACTACAATGAGTTCATTATCGTGTCCCAATCAGTTAAGTCAAGAAAGTAATTTTATATTAAATCAATCGATAACTGTGTAAATTCTCGAAGAAAGGCACCCTTCATATCATTACTGATCTAATGAAGCACGGAATGAATACTTACAACAGTATCAACCAGACTGGAAGTGACATAAATCAAGCTATGATTAATACGAACAAACTTTAAATAAGGATTAATGTATTAGAAAGTTTTATTAAAAAGCAAAATTACCTCTAAGTATTTACCATCTTATAGAGTGGCTCAATGACCAGCAAAGGATTAATTTGTACTACCATTTCAGGTTAAGACTACGCCAATAAAATATATTACAAAGTAATAACGAAAATCTGAAGTTACATTGTAACTTATATTAAAATTAACATCTCTCAGGACCTCAGGAAAAACTCTAAAAATTTATTTATCAATTATGAGTAATTAGAACGGTAGTAAATTTTGCTCAAATATCCAAGGATAGTGTTATATTAATCTAATATAATAATTAACAAACATTATCGTATATATCCTATCCAGTAAGTTACTTATTTTGAATTTACTATCAAAAATAATTCCTTTGTAATTCATTTTTATATTATTGACATTTAATACTTCATTTTAACCAGACTTAAAGTGACGTAAAACAAGCCACGATAAACAGGAACTAAATTTATCAAGGATTAACTGTATTAGAAAGTTTTACCAAATAGCAAAATTGCCTCTGACTATTTATCATATTATAGAGTACTTCCATTGCCAGCAAAGCAATACGTGTACTGACATTTCAGGTTAAGACTATTCAATAAAAAATATAACAAAATAATAACTTAAGTTTGGAAGATTGTAACTTAAGTTAAATCAATATTTCCTAGGATCTCAGAAAAAACTCTACAAATTTATCTGTCAATCATGACTAATTAGAACAGTAGTAAATTTTGCTCAAATATTCAAGGATAGTGTGAGATTAATACCTGAAATTATGCTTCGATAAAAAGTAAAATTATACCAAGTAAAAATATAGAATAATTAATATTACTGGGCAATGAAGAGATGCTCTAATATTAAAGCGAAAGGATTATCGATCTGACTATTGGTTGATTCAATGACTTATAGCTATTCATAATATTGAGTATAACGCTAAATCAAGATAATCTTATCTACTAAATTTTACGCTAAAATTCGGCCTAAAAAATATTTATTTTGTAGGGAATCAATAATCAGACAAAAATCATATGCAACCAAGCACAATTCTATAACCTGCAAATTCAGGACGAAACTGACTAATACCACTTAATGCTCTTTAACTTTCAAAAAGAATATAAGTCTGTAGGGACATACTTGCACTGCATTTGGAGAAATACAATTTAAATTACTCCAGTCAATTTATAGACCGAACATAATAAATTTAAGCTATTCTATAATCATGTAAACCACGCATACTGAACCTGATCTAGCAATATAAAATCAAAAAATTAAAATTTACAAATCACTTCTAATCATTATTAGTCACACAAATAACAAAAATTCTAAGATACCCGTATCTTGGAATCTTATCAATGGAAATTTTACAGAATAGCTGGTTCCATAAATGTACTTTTATGTACAGCAGAGTGCTTGAAGAAATAATTCCTCCAAATTTTTATCTCAATCCCTCTTTTATAAACATTTTTTGGTATAATTTTAATAATGCTATATTTTAACCCATTAATATCTATATGGCAGCTATAATTCTGAATTATGCCTTTAGATAAAAAATTTAGATTGCATTTTAATTTTCTAATGTAACTTCACATGTCGCATTGGCAATCACGACTAATTTATGTAATTTTAAACCTTCTAACCGTATATATAGGCCTCGGGATAATGAATTACCATATAATCATAGCGCCTTTGTACTCCCTTCACTTTTAATCGTTTAATAGCATTGTTATCTATATATTTTAATATGCCAGTTTCTTTCATAATCTAGCTATATGATTCTAACTTCATATTTTCTGAAAATTGATACGAAATTACTTTAAGCTAATTGATTAACCATGTCTTCATATTTCCTTATAAGAGTTATAATAGTGCACATAGTTTCTCGTTTCACCGTTTTTCCCTTCCTACATGAAGTAATTCAAGGCATAAGCTAAAAATTTTATTCTCAAAAACTCATGCATAAAATTTGTATTCTTTTCAAGTTCTCAAAGCTATATAATTCTAAGTATAATGCAAGGTTTATCCAAAGCCAATTTGCTAAGCTTGATACTAGACAGAAAGCTATTAGTCATAAAGATAAAGTATCATCTTAGCTCTAAAATAATCTATCCATTTATTGCTACGATAAAAACATTTATCATAAATCCGAATTGTGTATTTTACTTTGTGTTAGCCATGACAACTTCATATCACAATACATGGACGACCACTTTTACACAGTAAATCAATAGCAAAGGTTGAATACAACCTGAATCCCATTAAAGAGTATTTGTATAATTTCAGCATTTTAACACCAGTCACGAAATTGTGATAATCAGTCTGGATCTTCGATATTCCTTTTGTTCCATTCATATAAAGCACAGATTAATAATGCTGAAATAGCCTTAATATAATCAAACTAATAGATTGTAGGGGGTATGAATATGATTTCTAAACTAAAACAATAATAGAATACAGAGATAAAACCCTGAAAAGAAATTGTGTAATATTAGCAATAAGATGATATTCTCTATTTTTAAGCACTATGTTACTGCTTTAATTCAAAATTAATTGTATTTCAGTACAATTAGACTATTTTAATATATTATTTGATTTTTAGCTATAAATATTGCTATTTTAACTTAAACTACTGCTACGTCAATAAAAGTAATTTTATAATTTGAGAGTAAATCACGAAACCATCAAGTACACATATAATATATGATCCATTACATGCAGTGCGCTAAAATGAAATTTTGAAATCGATTGAGATATTATGTAGGGTGTACCGTTACAAAAAGAATGGAATGATCACCTTAAATACTTACTTAAGCTGTCTTTATATCCTAATTTTTAGATTTGCTGTAACAATGGTAAATAACAGTTAAACTAGTAACAGCTGGGCTTAATTCCCACGTAACCTGAAATAAGCACAGGATTTTACTATTCACAAAGAACCATACGCAAATTTACCGAGCTATGCTGATCAACGTATCATAACTATCCTATTTTGCGCTAAATCAAACTTTAAAAGGGTACCAAAAATTATTAGACTATTTTGATCTATTGGTAACTTGCAATAAATACACAATTTACGGTATTAATATTTTGCACAAGATTTACTGCTTATTATCTAATTTTAGCAAAGAAATGAATCCTAATTAGCTGAAAGATGAAGTTAATCTAATCCACAAATCTTATACACTGATATCGAAGAAACTTCTCAGCTATCAGATTTCGTCTTTAATCTAAAGAATTTTGTTACCACATTATTCAATTCAATACTGCAGTGGAAATTTAATTTATGACAAATAATATCGTAATTATGCATTAGTAATCCTATAAGTAAAGAATGATTGTAAAAGTCGGATATAGCTGCCGGTAAAATTGTGATTAGTTAAAGATTAAAGTAGAAGATCGATAATTGCTATTTTTATTCACCCATCAAAATAGGCTTCAAAACTTTTACAAAATAATTATTGCCTAATTTTAAATATTGATCATAGCAGTTTCATCTGATTACGGAACAACATGAACTAATACCTTTTTGTAAGTGTGTATGCAAATTCGAAAGCTAATTATTATTCTGTGATGTCTAATTTAATGCCTTAATCCAATGTTATTGAAATATATTATGGGGTCAAGTTATTCATAAGTCAATCTCACACTTTACCTAACGTTCATTACTAATAATAAATATCATACATTCTTGTCACATACTTCGGTCATTTTAGACTAAGTTCATGCTGTATCCATTTGAAGTGATTTTATTCGTTATTTACCTAAAGTGCATAGAGATTATTTATTGGTTCCTATCATGAAGTATGAATTTAAAACCCTGAAATAACAGCTGCTGATTCTGATATGAGTAAATATAAAGAGTAAATGACCTTATAGTAAATATCAACTAGTTCCTATCTTTAATTCTATTTGGTTGTTTAGTGAACTCTAATACCTAATTTTAGAATTCTGACGACTACAGCTCATTACTTTCCCTTTACATAAATGATTATGTTCGAGTAAAATAGGATTCTAATTAATTAAGGGCTATTCCATACAAATACGATCTTGCACTGTATGCAATTAATGACCTATCCCCGACTAGGTATTTTATCAATCGAACAGTAGTCAGCCAAGTAAGAATATACACAAGTAAAATACTGTAAATAAGAATAATTTCAATATAAAGACCGAGCCATACACAATAGGAAGACATTAACTTATCGCCATCAATAGTACCTTGTTACCAAAATTTGTTTGTTAGAGTTAATTAAGATACTGTTATGTAACGAAAGCTAATTTTTACAATTCTCCTTCAATATTTTAAAGATTTTTGTATTGTAATAAGTACACTAGCTTTAAAAAATAACTAATTTGGTTGGATGACAGTAGATACTACTTAGTATCTTAGTACAGTACATTAAGAATTCGATTACATTATTCGAGTCAAAATTTAGCAATATCCGGTAGCATAATTTTGTTATGAATTATAAAATGTAAGATTGTAATTTAAGCGATATACGTATTAGTGAGTGTAACAGTTGTGCTTCAGTTATGATATAACTGATAGCTAACTTTGATCATAAAATACAGTAGAAGTTAGATTACTTTGCCCATTGATTACAACGTAACCCCGAACATTTTGATCTAAGTTCTAATTTAAGATCGCTGGTCTGTCTTAATGTATTTCATAGTTATATGCGTATGCTACATACGGTGGAAAGATACAATTGGTATCAATTTAGTAATTTCGGGAATCTAGGGTAAAATTTATGTTGTCATATGCGATTAATTGTCAGTTTAATTTAGACTACTTAAGACTAATGAATTGATAGTCTGACATCATTAACTTTTCTGCATAGAATATATGAGGTAGCATGGTTCA